AAAAAAATTCCATTTAAAAATATATAATTATTTAATATTAAAAAATTTTGAATAATTTAATAGTTTATGCTTATAGTTTCAATATGAGTCAATAATTATATCTAAATCAAAATTAATTTTAATCACTTTAGTTTTATTTAAATTTATTTAAATATTTTAATTATCTAAATCAAAATTTAAAAATTTGAGTGAAAAATTTAAATATTTCAATAATATCTTAAATGTGCCAACCCTCATTTACTACTAAGAACAAATTAACTAGTTTTTGTGAAGATGCTACTAAAAATTTAGTGAATTAGAAAAAAAATATGGTGAACAAACAACAAAAACAAAAATTTCTTTGACTTTGTCACAACCCACCACAAAGGCTACTATATTCTTTAATCCCAAAACATCCAAATAAATCAGTCAGAGAAGGAAAAATGAAAAAAAATGCTCTTCAAGGTTGGAAATGTACCAATACTTACTAATAGAGTATTAGATAGATAACCTCACATTACTAGTAGTTAGAGTCTTAGATAACCCCACATAACAAGTAGCCAATAGTGCTATTATCTCACCCCTAATAAACATCCAAAGATTTTCAAGTGAACTCTAAATGAAATAGAATAACAGCATGGCCGCCCAACAACAGCTAAAAATTTGCTTGCTTTTACTCATCATCTTCCTCCTCCTCCTCCTCCTCATCATCATCATCATCAGCTCCAACAGCTGAGTTTACAGCTTTCAACCATTCAATTAAGCTAGCCTTCCTTTTCTCATATGTGAGTTTCTTCAAGCTGTACCTGTAATACAAAAACAAAATGATTTTAAGTTAGGTACAAATATTTTGTATTGATTCTCAAATTTCAAGCTAGGTGGTATCCTTTTGAATAAGAGACAATGTGTACAAATTAATTTGTTGTGAGACATGACATACATCTTGTGCTCCTTAGGAGGCTACTTCTTAGACTCCTTAATTGTTAGGTCTACTTGTATAGTAGCATGAACCTTCTTGTACAACGCCTCAATGTCATCAGCTTTAATACCCTTCTTAATGTACTCACTGAAGTGGAACTGATACTTCGCTAGTTCATCTTCCATCGAAGTCTACATGTCTTTTAGTTAGAGGGGTGCATTTTTAATTAAATTATATGATGTTTCACCACATCATACAATCTAGCACTTACCCTCATGTAAACAGCAACATGAACCCCACAAATGTACTTGTGATGAACTTCAGGGTTAAGTTGCTCACTCTCCTTATTAAAGCCAACAAATCTCTTGTCACTGTCAAGAATATCAAGTCCACCATCAAAAGCTCCTTGCAATTAAGTAATGGCAAAAAAGTCATCATTAGAGGATTGAGGATGATAGATAAAACTACTGATGTAAACCAATTAATTTAAACAACAAAAGATTAAAGAAGCATGTAATATTATTAATTCATAAAACCCCAAATGGAACAAAATGATGGGTAGCAAATGCACAACAGGAATAATGTAGTAATACCTCAATTCTCATTAAAAAAAAAAAAAAAAGTTAATGGGCATGATGCTACAACTTCATTAAGAATGTTGCTAAACTCTACCAAGAAAAAGAAACAAAACAATTCATAGCCAATTAAAATATTGAAGCAAGTAGGATTAACCTATTGGCATCAAACGCACTTTCAATAGGTTTGGAATTATCACAGAATATGACTTTGTATTAATTAGGATTGTATTGCAATTCCAATAAACAAACTCAGAACAATTCTATTATACCTTGAGATCACCAAAAACACGATTTTCAATTGTTGTTCTCACAAGGCCAACATCAAGGAGTGCACGAAAAGGCCTCCCGCTCTTTGTCGGTTCAATCGAAAAATCCTCTCTAGTTGCTTGCAAACAAATGAGAACCATGCATCTATCTTCTAAAGATACAAACCACACTTATTTACACTAAATCCTAAAAACTGTCTCATAACTCAACATTTCCCTTATATTCGTCATCCATTTCCAACATTTTCAAAACATGACAAGCCAACAAGAATCCAGTACAATAAGCTGGGTTGGTAGATGAAGAAATTAAAATGCCATTCAAAAGGCTAACTAAGAAGGGAAAAGCATGCAACCAATAATAATAAAAATAAATTATATACCTGCGGCATAATTTGTAAGGCCTACTTCAGGCCCATGGTGGGGTAACTTATGGGCATAAGCAGCTACAAGAACTATATTACCAGCAATATTGGTAGAGACAATTTGTGCAATTACATCCTTGTTTGTCTAACAAAAGTGAGTTAAGGTAAGAAGAAATAAAAGCAAACACCTCATGGACAACAATATATATATATATATATATAAAAGAACAGAGAGAGCACCTTGAATCAAGACTTGAGTAATCATCTTCTCAAATTTTACTTATTGTTTAGCAATTCATTTTGATTTACTTTGATTCCATTATATTAACAATGTGATGGCTTAAGACAGAAATAGTTTCGATTAGTGAAAAAAAGATTCAAAAAACTTAACCAAATTACTTTTTAGTTTGAGATTTTAACGAGTTGCAGTAACTGAAAAGACAAGCAATCTTTTCTCTAAATGAAATAACTCTATTTAAGTATGCAGTTACTTGACAAAAATTAACAAGACAAAATAAAATTCTTAATAATTTCAAATGGTATAGATGCTTCCTAGAAACTTAAAAATTTATGAAAAAAACCCTCAAATGTTAACATTAATGAAAACTGACTACTGCTAATGTATGTACAAAATGCTATACATAGAGATGCTAGAAAGAAACCATAAACATCTGATGACAGCACTAAATGACAATCCTCTTCAAGTCCATGAAACATGACAAAGCAATAATTAAGACAACCAACTCCCTTACCATAACCAAAATGGAAAACATCTTTTCCCAATCTTAGCAAATACAAATTTAACTTCTCTTAAATCTTTAATTCTTCAGGAATTGGCACAATAAATGGAAAGCAGAGAAACAACTCTACAACTCTAATTTGTCAACCAAATCTCAGGTAATTTCACTAAAGTTATCAACCTAACATAAACCTAGATTCAAATACGGTGAAAATATTATAACACAAAACATGTCACCTTTATGTAATTCAGATTATACCAATTTGTTAAACTATTTAGGTTAGTTGCTTTCCATATCTGTTTTATCATTTACATCCATAGTTGGCGAAAATAGAAATGAAAATGACAAGGATTTGAACTGAAAACAAAGCTTGCTAATTATGAAACAGACCAATTATATCAGAATCGAAGTAGGTGAAGCTAAAGAAATGAACACAACACTGAGGAGTGAAGAGTCTTACAATAGCAGTGCTCAGAACCATGGCAAAATAGGTTGGAAGTAGGGTTAAAGGGAGAGACTAAGGTGTGAAATTTTGCTAAGACGCTAGAAGTCTAGAACCTTTTATGGTAGGGTGGATATTTAAAAAAATAAATAAAAATGAAAATGAAAAATATTTAATGTTTCGATTTAATGATGAAAATTAATTTCGATCAAGTGTAATGGACATGGACTCAATCTATGTAGAAGAACACAAGCCCAAGCCTGCATTTTCCAATTCTGCATCGAGCTTATCCTTTTCGGCTTGTTTTTTTCTTTTTCTTTTTTTTTTTAATATTTTGATATGAAGCAGATTCGAACCCATCAAGAGAAAGGAGAGTGCATCTGTTCAATGATTAATGTCATTAAATTCGAAACTCATCCAAAAAAAAAGGAGTGCATATGTTCAATAACTAATACCATTGAGCCTGTAAGGCTATGTGCATTATTTTCTGCTTTCTTTTGTTATCTTGGATAGTGGAAAAAGAATTCAGGAACCTATCAAAATTTAATACGACTTGCCTTACAAAAATAAATTTTTGGGGATGTAAATCGGGATATAATATAATTAATAATAAAAAAAAGTAATCAATTATGTTGTGACTTTATCAAGAAAATTTTTTTCAGAGTTTATTTTAGGAAAGTGATCTAATTAATTATAAGAACGAAAAAATTAATTATAGTATATTGGTATAATCACTTATTGATTTCTCATTTGTAATTAATTAAATTGCAAATATATTCCATTAACGCTCAAATGTTTTTCCTAGAAACACGCCAACATTTGTCTTTGAAACCTTTAGCCCTTTAGTTCCCAGCATACATTTGGTATATTTTAGCTCATAAATTTCATGTTATTAATGTAATTAACTTGAAATAAATAGAATCATATTACATGAGTCATATAGTTGTCTGTACTTTGTTACTTTATCCTTATTAATGTTATACTAACATATATATATAGTTCATTTAAACCATGGAGGCAAGAAAAATTTTGCCCTAAATGAGACTCTTGCGTGCTTTCAAGATTTTTATGCCTCTATGAATCTAAGTAGACCATATTTATACTAACATAGTGCTAACAAGGATAAGGTAATGATAAAAATGGCCACATGACTCTCATGTGATGGCATTCTGTTTATTTTAAATCAATTACAACAATAACATAAAATTAAAAATTAGGATACATAAAGTGTATGTTAAAGAGCTAATAATTTCAAGCACAGCCAATTGGAGGGTTTTAGGCCACTAGAATGAAACATACTATTACCAAATAATACTATGTATTATTTTAGATTTATCATTATAAATATTTTATAAATTAAATATAAACTTTTACAATTATACTTATAAATATAAACATGCACCATAATATTTATATTGTATTAAAGAGAGAATAAACTACAATTTATTTATCATAATAAGTGGATTTAAATCCAAATGTAACCCTACTTCCCATTTATCTTCTAGAAGACAAAAATCCCTCCAATGCTTTAACTTTAAAGCCTTTTCTTCTTCTAACCATTAACAATTCAAAACACACCACTTCTCTTCTCTCTTTTGTTAAAACTCTAAATTTTCTCACTCAATGTTTTGATAGAACTCTCTATCTATTATTTCAGAAGTTACTGTAATTTTTAAAAATGATTACGATTATCCTTTTTTTATGCTTTATATCATTAGGCTTCAAAAGAAATCCACATTTTTCAAATTTTTTTCATTTTCTTGTCTTATTTGAATATAACCAAAATTATATTTTAGGTTACATTTTGCATTTAAGTATTTTTTTCCCTTTTCTTCTTTGGACTTTTTCTATATGTATTATTTATGTGTATTAGCTGATACAATTGATAATAACTGGTACGATTGGTATTTAACCAATTCAGCTAATATTTAACCTAAAATAATATTTAAGATATAGTGTGCTAATTTTACCTTTAAATCAATACACACCTACTATACCCGTCAGTACAGTACGAGATCAAACTTTGCTTTTAGGGTAATGCCGCTGTAATGTGAAATAGGTACACTACACATAATCCATTGGTCAAAAAAGCTGACCCAAAAGATTTGGGTTCGATCCTTCATAGGGTGGAAAACGGCCATGCCACAACCACAGACCGTGTCACGCGGTAGGCCACTAGCGTGATAAAATGATAAGCAAGTTTGATTCCTGATGGTAGTATAATTACCAATTTGTTCATTACCATGGTTGCTATAGCAGGAACGCTTTTTGCTTTTATTTTTCTATTTTTCTTTTTATGTTAATTAAAATTTAAATGTATTTTAAATTAAAACTCTAAATTTAAAGTTATAACATTTGAAGTATGATCTATTAATTTCACTTAGATCAAATGAATTTGGCAAGGTATTGATATAGCAACAATAGAAAATTTCAACATTACTTAGTGGTATAAGTGGAAGAAGTTTGACTCTTCTTAAATAAGATATCAAGTTCGAGTCTTGTGAATTGTTTAATTTTAAATTAATTTAAATTTAATATAATTACCAAATATCAAAAAATTAATAAAAAATAATAAAAAATTTCATTGCAAAAATATTTTACGGGAAGCTTATTACCAAAAAAATGTCTTTGACATATATTGGTAATAAACATCATTATCAAAAAAATTTTAACAACAAAAAAAATCACTAGTAGGTACCCCACCCTGCTCATGCCCACCACTACATAAGAATGGCAACAGTCCCTACTGAGGGCAGGGATCCCTTTCCATTTCCGTCTCACACTATTGGTGGATATAGGGATTTTCACAAAAATTTTTTACGGAGGGTAAAAGAAGCATTTCCCCATCGTGCGAGAATGAGGGACCTTACACGCATGGGAAATTCCCACAAAAAGTATATAAAAAAATATATAATTTTTTTAATTATATATAAAAATATTTTAATTTATTTAAAAACTAGCACAAAAAAAGTTTAAAAACATTTTAAAAAATTAGTTATTTTAAGTATTTTTTTGTTAGAAAATAAATTAAAATAAATTAAATAAAGTAAGTTTGGCCTATAATAAATAAATAAATAAGATAAATTAAATTAAATGAAAATTAAAAAAAAAAACTCATTAAATAAAGTGGTGGCGTTGAGAGAAACCAAGTTAATAGGAGGGAGAGATATAAAAGTCAAAGTGTTTTACTATTAGAATTTATAAGTTTGAGAATTGAGATATTTAGGTTTAGGGTTTTTTTAAATGTATAAATTAAGAGTTTTTAAAAAACAAATATTGATAATTAATTTATTATTTTTTAATTAAATTTATTTAAGTAGTAATAATTTTGAAATTAATGTTAATTTTTATATTATATATATTTATGATAAAAAAATATTCTTAAAATAAAAATTAAAAATTTTTTTAAGTTTATTACAATTTATAAAAATATAATTAATAAATGTTTTTATTAATTTGTAGCATCCTACGAGGATCCATTGGGTGAGAAAAATTCTTTGTAAAATTTTACTGGGGAAAAATCAACTCCATCCTTCCCCTATGGAAACAAATGTTTTGAGAATCCACGTTCCAACGATGGAACTCTCATGAAACTTTGCGGATCGTAAAAGAAATTGTCATCATTACCCCTACTTTTGAGTTTGCATATAAGGGAATTTATGGGTACTACTAATTTTACGTATTAAACTATGTATATATATACATATATATTTTACTTTCACGTTAAAAAAACATCTTTGCATCCATAATGCTCATATTTTCGGGTTGTGCTTAAAAACTTATTTTAATTAATAATTAAAAATATTAAAAAAAATATCCTTAAAAAAAACAACAATATTATAACTTATAGAATTATAATATAATATTAAATAAATATATATAATATTATAAATAAAATTTTTTTAAAAATTAATTATATTAATAATATATTATATTATAATATTAGATAATATCATCCTTATATCATTTTCACAGTTAAAACAGAAACACTTAAAAAAAGGGCCCTTGTGGGACCTACCTATGACCGAGCAACCCACAAACGGCCCCGACGCGAAATCAACATTAGACTGACAAGGCTTGAATACTGCTTCTACAAAGTTAAATAAGACAGCGAGGCAGTCGGTAATCTCTATCGGCCATTCCAAATCTCCCGATCTGATTGACTCCGATCATATCTCCGACGCCAAATCGATGAATCTGCTGATGGTGATGGGAATTCTCAGTCGCTACGTGCTATAGATTTCATTCCGCCGATCTTCAAAGAGGATGTCCCAAGCTGACGTCTCCTACAGGTAAATCGTCTTCTTCTCCCCTGTTTCCATGAGTTCAAACTTTCGATTGCAAGGTTTTCTCGGTAATCTCATATGGTATTGCAAGGGTTGACCCTAACTGCTTAAATGGTGGCATTTTAGAGCAGAATATTGTTATTTTGTTTATTCCTTTGAATCCAGTTTCTCAAAGTCAAAGAAACAATCAGCTATGTAATGAATTGATTACGGATCTCCGATATAAGCTTGAGAAATGATTTCCTCATTTTTTTGTTAAATATGCCAGAATAAAGTTTTGTAATTGATGGCAACACGTAATTCTTATTGTATGTTGGTTTTCTTTTACTGCGTGAATACAGTTTTAAGTCATCTTCATTAAATCAAATAAGGTTCTGAGTTGTGAGTTGTTGTTTTTGGGGAATACTGACTACTGATTGTTCAGTAATTTGGACAATTGAGCATTAAACTTAAAAATGTTAAAAACTTTGCTATATGGTGCAATAACATGTTTGCTGAAAAAGAAGTTAAAAACTTTGCTATATAGTTTAATACATATTTGCTGAAAAAGAAGTTAAAAAATTTGCTATATAGTGCAAGAAAAAAAAAAGTAAAGAACTTGCTACAGCTAACCGTTTTGTTTTCTGTCTTGGCAAAGCTTGCTTTGATTCCGAAAACTGATGCACATGGGAATAAGCATGGGTCGCTAATTTTTCTAACAGTTTGTTTTACCATTATTTTCATATGTGCTTTTCTAATTAATCCTGTCAACCTGATAATCAAAGTAGATGAAAATTTTTTCATCTGTGTTTCAATACATTAAAAAATTGTAGGTTTTACCAGTGGAGTTTATCATTGATTGCTTCCTCTTAAGCTTAAGAACGCACACTAGTTAAGTAACTTTTTGTTTGAATTTAGCTGTTCTTGGCATGTGTGGGATTTTACAATCTTTCTAAGATCCTCAAAACATGGTGCTTAATGAGAAATTAGATTTACTGCTTTCTTTTTTGTACTTTTTTTGCAAGAATTCTTCCGTCTTTTCTGTCCATCTGGGTGATAATTTTAGTTTAGTGAGTAGTGTTTTGTATCTCTTCAGTCTCTTGTTCTTTTTAATCTTTCAGCTCATGCAATATAAGTTCTGTGGTATCTTTGTTGCTCCTTTTAGATGAATACAGATCTTATGCGGTAGGGCAAGACATTGGTGATTATGGAAAAAACAAAAATAACACTATGTCCTTGTTAACATTCTTACTTGCACAACTACATGCTCTGTCATTTGAATTTTGAATTCTACTTCTTTTTTGTTCTCCTTTCAAGTGCCAAAAGAGGCACATAATGATAGTATTTTGGGAATACTATAAACACTTCATAAAAATAAGAGGAGAAAAAAAGAGAGAGAAGAATATATAACCAAAAACACTTCGTAAAAATAAAAGGAGAAAAAAACAGAAGAATGTATGTAAGAGACTAGCCAACAATCACTTCAATGATTCAAAAAGTAACTAGTCTACCAACCATGACAAAGCATTTAATAAAGAAAGAAATAGAGAGAGTGAATTGGTAATTGGAATGGAAGTCAGAAGAAAGAGGAAATGGGCAAGGAAAATCGATGGAAAATGTTAGAGAGGTTGAATCCTTTTCTATCTCTCTAAAAGTTGCCATTACCTTGTTATGAGAAGTCTTCAATCCACCTACTTGCTATAGTTTATGGTAGCATATATTGATATCACTTTCTAGATGTATGTAATGATCAGAGAGTATTTCTTCTGGTTTATAAATTGCATTTTCCCTCCATTTCTTGCAGTTGTGGGTCTTGTGGATACCCTTTGAACTTGACTTCTTCAAACAGGATCACCTCCAACCTAGGAGCTGAATATCAAAAATCCATAAAGAAAGGTTATATCTCCTTTCTTTCAGTTGATCTTAGCCGATTCACACAGGTCGATGAGGTAAACTGCCTTCCTCTTACTTGGGGCCGTTATCGTTCAAAAACTAAACTCCTCTGTCGTAAATGTGGGGTTCATATAGGCCATGGTTATGGAGATGCACCTGCTCTTTGTGGTTTTGACTCTCCCAACTCATCTAGTGCTGCTCACAAAAAGTTTTCAATAAAGATCCGGGCTCTACAGCCCGGGGAAGAGAGCTAACAACTTTGACATGGATGGTCTTACTTCCATCATGGATCTATCTGATGATTGCCTCTCCATTATTTTTAAATGGCTTGACTGCAGCCGTGACCGTGAATCATTTGGCTTGACCTGCCGCAGATGGCTTAATATTCAAAATTTGAACCGTCGATCCTTACAGTTCGAATGTTCATTTAGTATTCTGAACCCTCAGACATTAGCTCAGACCAGTCTTGAGATAAATTCAGATCATCTCTACAGGCTTCTCTTCCGTTTTCAGAATTTAGAGTATTTATCTCTTTCTGGTTGCACAAAATTACTGGATTCAGGCCTAACCCACTTGCTAGCTTATGGTTCAAGCTTACAAACTCTTTGTTTGGATTGTTGTTTTCAAATCACTGATAATGGGCTTTCCCCAGTTGCTATTGGTTGCCCCTCTTTGGTTGTTGTTAGTCTTTACCGCTGCAACATCACTGACGTTGGGTTAGAAATTTTAGCTAATGCTTGCCTTGCTTTGAAGCATGTAAATCTCTCATGGTGCTTGCGTATTTCTGACTTGGGGTTGGGAACTCTTTCACAAAGATGCCGCCAGCTTCAAGCAATAAAGATATCTAATTGCAGTAATGTAAGTGGTGTTGGATTTAGAGGGTGTTCACAAACTTTAGTTTACGTAGATGCTGAATGTTGTAATCTTGGACCAGAGGGAATAAGAGAGATTGTTAGTGGGGGTGGAGTCGAGTTTCTAAATATTAGTGGTCTGAACTGGTTGCATGGAAATGAAATGGCAGCAATTGGGAATGGATTTGCTGCAAGGCTAACAATCCTTAACCTTCGAATGTGTAGATCTATAGGAGATGAGTCTATCATTGCAATTTCAAAGGGGTGTCCACTACTTCAAGAGTGGAACTTGGCATTATGTCATGGGGTTAGGTTTCCAGGTTGGGAATCTATTGGGTCAAACTGCCACAATTTGGAGAAGCTACATGTGAGTCGCTGCCGCAATTTGTGTGACCGGGGATTGCAGGCTCTGAGAGATGGGTGCAGAAGGCTCTCTGTTCTGTACATGCTTCGAAATATTAAGTTATCTGATACAGCAGTGGAGCTGTTTAAATTGTACAGAAGTGATGTCAGAATCAAGGGAGAAGAAGAGATGTTTATAGGGCCCGACTGGACTGCCTAGATGGATGAAAACATAGAACCGTCTGAGTTGATCTGGGAAGCTACTAAAGTTGAATATGTGCCAGTTTGATGACAGTAATTTTGCTGGACTGCTATGTTTACTCTCTTTAGATTTTTGTTGGCATTGGTTAGTATATGATTATTTGGACATATTGAACTTCAAATAGACATCATTTGGTAATGTCTTTTTATACACATGAGACTATCTTTTGTTGTTGGAGTTTCAAGTCTCTCTCCTAATTGAGCTGAGATATGACTTGCAAACTACATCTGCCATTGTTTCTACATTTATGCTGCTTATCACTTCCATGTAAAACCTTGAAGTTTCATGTATTGCGTTATAATGATTGTGTTGCAGTGGATTGTCTGAAACTGATCAAGGCTTATCTTAGGTAAATCAAGAACTCCTTCTGTGGATAATCAACGCAAATCATTTTGCTTCTGGAACAAGGAATTGTTCTTCCTAAACAAGGGAATAATGTAAATCTGCAATGATGGAGTATATGTCTTACCTACACATGTAATTTGATTTACATAAGTAGAAAATTAGTTTGTTAATAGATTCTATCGACCTTACTGTGCTTTGAATTTTTTTCTTTATAAAGATGTATCAAACTAAAATCCTAATCCGATGGTCTACACTTTCGATTTAAAGACATGCATAACATGGACGTCAACGGGATGAGCACATTTCTTTAATTTGTAATTGGTTATGGTACATTAACCATGGGATTAAGAGAGGCCTTGGATACTGGGGGAGGATTCTTCTGTCCAATTACTAGTGTTTTGGGCTTTTATTTATCTCTCTTGTTTTGTTTGATGCAATGAATTAGGAAATGAATGTTTGCTCTAATTATTTTTCCTTCGTCTATCCAAAAAACATGAAAAGTACTGAGATTGTAGAGAAAAAAATTGTTCGTTTTGGAGTCCTAGCATTTGATTATTTTCTTGTAGCGGCAATCTATGGGGATGATGAGGTTGAGGGCAAGTAATCGAAGGACCACCTTGTTATTTCGTTATACTGTTAATTGGCACCTGTTGAAAGTGAACAGAACAGTAATTAAAATTTACACTAATCAACTATGGACTGTGAGGAGGAAGTGCCAGTACAAGAAATGTTAATGACACCAAATTTTAAATTTTAAATAGTTTTTAAAAATATAAATTTGTTGATTGATTTTAATTTATTAACTAATAAATATTAATTATTTTATTAATTATTAATTAATAGTTATAGTTATTAACTATTTTTATCAATTAAATTAAATTAAATTAATATTTTAAAAGATAATATATATTTTTTGTAACTTTAACATTTTGTTTAGTAGCCATAATACTGCCCCTTTGAAGGAGTAGAGTAGTTTATGAGCTTTTCTTGCTCCTGAGCTCTAGCGCTCATTAACTTGCTTCTTACATGAGTCAATTTTTAAAAAAATAAAGTTTGATCTCAAGTTGACATATAAATTTGAGAGTGTTTAATTTAGTATTAAAAATATGTTATTTATTTAAAAGAGAAAGGTAAAAATATGACAATTTTAATGAATTTTCCTTATATATTAAGTCATTAAGTCATTATGAGTGTTTTTCTTTTTATCAATGTTCTAGACATTTTAATTATTAGATATCTTAGTTTTTGTAATTTTTATTTATTACTTATTTTATTTCAAAATAACTATATTTTTTTTACTTTTTTTTCAAATTAAAGATTTAGAGATAATTTTTATCTTCATTTATGATATCCTTAAAAAAATAAAAGATAAAAAAAGATTTTTTTTTTGGTGATTAGATGATTAGTTAACATAAATAGAGAATGATAAGGTTAAACTAAAAAAAATATTTGTTTATTATCAAAAATAAAAAAAAACAATTAATTTATGATAAATTTAAAATAAAAAATAATAGTTATTTTAAAAAAAGAAGAATGATAATTTAAATATATAATAAGGCTAAAAGGAAAATTTTACAATTATTAGATCTTTTAAATTAAGACTCTTCTAATGCTATAAGGTTGCATTAATTATATCTTTTATAAAAAAATTATGAAAAAATATAAAAATAAATATTATTTTTTTAATGTTGAAATCATGTTAATGATTTTAATTAAATAATTGATAAATTTAAAATTAATTCTTTTAATAAAACTTTCTTTTTTATTTATAAATTAATTATACGAAAAATATAATTAATATATCCTTTTTCACATATATTAAAACAACCCTTCAAACTAAAAATAAAACTTAATAGAATCTGATTGTTTAGTGGGTTATGGTTAAACTATTGCTTGTTAAAATATTCTTTATTGAAATTATAGTAAACAAGCTCGAGCACGAACTCCGACTCATCCTTGTGCTCCAGCTCAACAAGCTCGTGTTCGCTTGAATGCCCACAAGCTCAAGCTCAAACGGTCAAACTCAAGCTTGAGCTCCAGCTCAACAAGCTCGAGTTCACTTGAAAGCCCACAAGCTCGAGTTCAAATGGTCAAACTCGAAAGCAAGTGAAACTCGAGCTCATATGGGGCGAGTTCAAACTTGAGTACCTAACCTAGGCAGTTGACTTGGCTTGACTCATTAATGGCCCTAAAATCAACTTTTGACCGTCAATCACAAATAAAATGCATATGCGTTCTGCATTCCCGCGTTTACAACGTGAAAAGCAGATGGAACACATTTCGATCAATAAATCAAGTTTCAAATTCAATTATTTTTCGAACAGATATTAATTTATTATTGTATTTTTTCTTGTAAAAAAAAAAAAGCATATGCATTCTTCAATAAATACACGGTTCAAATTGAATAACGGCAAAGGAAAATAAAAAAAACCCTTCGATTACAGCTTATTTGCCATCAAGAAGCCCTCAAACACACTCAAGTTCCTGACATTATTGCTATTATTTTTGTTGAGTTTCTATCCATTCATACTTTCCTTCATCAACGTTGGCGTGTCCAACCAATACACGTGGAGTTTTGTCCCTCATCAGCCCTAAATTTCTGGTTGGTTTCTCCAGTATATATCAGAAAAAAGGTAACAAACTAACTGCTGTTATTCTCTCCTCCCCATACGTTGTCCCATGCAGCACCACTTGGAGCAGCCTTTGGCCCCTCAATGTAGTTCTGGTTCCCACGACGGTTTTCCGGTCCTGGTAGTGGAAGGCCATCAGGTCCCATTTGATTAACCTTTCGAGGTTTTGTTTTGATCCCAAGCAATCTTAAAACAAATCTTGCTAATTCTCCGTACAAAAGGCCTGTGCGATCAAAAAGCTGCAATGGATAACATCATGGGTCAATGTGATGAAAATTTAGTGGTCTATCACTCACCAAAAGACTAACTATTCCCTGACTCATCCACTAATAAAGTAGGATCCAAAATGATCATAAATAGCAATAATCCTTATCATTTTTTTTAAAAAAAAGAAAGATGGATATACAGAAAACAGCACCTGAAGAAGAGCAGACATAAACATGTGAAGTGCCTGGGTATTCTGGTCTATTAAAATAGATATCCGGCCAAAGAAGTTAACAACACCTTGCATCTGTAATCAGGGCAAAAGGAAGCAATTATAAACTTATGACAGTATGAGAGAGAATGCAGCTCTTTGGAGAAGAAATATGTGATAAAACAATCAGAGATGTCATCCAACAATTTGAACATATATCAACAGATATGTATCACTCTCATGCAGGTTCCTCCAAACAACCTCACCTTCTCATGCTTGACTTCCCCCAACCCACTACCCTTTTCCATGACATTGATAACTTAGGTCTTCATTTTGGAGGAAAATGGTGGAAAAAAACATGGAAGCCATTGAAATTTTCTGTTAGGTGAAGTTTGAGCTGGAGCAGAAAAGAAAGAAGGATAAAAAGTACTTCTATGACATGGGAAAACTGTTAGCAAATAACAGCAGCACTTAAGACTAAAGATCTTTCAACAAGAAATCAGTTTCAATAGGCAAAAGCCATTTGTATCTACCTCAAAAATCTAATCATAAACATGGTTAAGAAGGCCACACAAAATCTAAGAAATTAATAATTCAAGTTTATAGTTATATATGCCCAATAATACTAAAAAAATGTACATTGCAGACAAAGGAAAGGAAACAGAATTCATGCTTACCACACGGAGTAAGGAAATCCAAAAGCCTGGAGGTGATGATGGAGCACCAAATGGATTATTTGGATCTTGCTCGCCATATGGACCCGTGCCCCCCATTCCATAACCACCCATTGGACCCCCAAAACCACCATTGTACATCCCACCACCATTGTACATCCCACCACCATATAAACCAGAGTTTCCATATAAACCACCATACCCTCCTCTATACATGCTGTTACCATATAATCCACCACCATAAGATGAACCATACATTCCTGAACCAAACCCTGAGTTATAATTCAGACCAGAACCATAACCTGCAAAGACATCAAAATAAAATTACCTTTTAGATCAGACAAGCAAAACAATTGTCATATCATCAATAAGAAAGAAAAAAAAAAAAACCATATGCATATTCAAACAATCAATCAGCCAGTACCTCCATAAGTGCTTCCATAATTCTGCTGCTCCCAAGGCCTAGTAGGTACGGGTCTACCCAGAGAATTCCTGTTTACAACCGTATTCATATCATTAGTTGAAACAATTTCACCTGGTTTTGCTGTTCCAGAAGCCTCAACAACATCACTAGTGCTCCCAGGTGACGGTGGCTTAAAGGGTGTAGGACCAGTCGAGGTTCCGGATTGTTCCCATGGTTTAGGAGGCGAGCCAGTAGCTGCATCCGCATAAGATTAGTCAGAAACAAATTCAGATAACACATTTCATGTATAGCAACCGCTCCAAACTCTAAAATAGCAAATGGCATCCACAATTAACCCATAAATCCTTTTAAGCTAAGCTCTAATTCTCTCATAAACATCATCAAAAAGAGGGGAACATACACAATAGAAATCATCAAGGGCAAGCCTTTGCATACAAATCCAGCAAAATCCAATTAACCATAGAAACCCAGAAAAACTAAATTTGATTAAAGAAAAATCCAACGAATTTCTACATCTAACTCTAAATTTTCCTCAGCTTTGCTATCAACCAAACAGAAAACCTATTATGCCCTAGAATTCTGGATTTCTGATCAGATGAATCAATCGATTATGCCCAAGAAACATATAAAACCCTAATGAAGAGAAAGACGACGAACCTGCTTGTTGGGAATTGGAGGCCATGATTTGGAAGACTGCCTTATCTCCAACGACTGAGTCAGAGGAGAAAGAGAGAGAGAGAGGGAGGAGACGGCCGTCGAAATGTGATGAGCTTCACGTTTGTATTTTTGTGTTCCTTATAATTATGTCCCCAAAATTTTTCCTTTTAGGCCCTGTAGGCTGGAAGCTTCTCGGCCGTGTAGGCTTTAATTAAGCCTGTAACTGTTGTAGGTTGTAGATAAAAAAATAATAATAATAAGAGGGGCAACTTATACTTAACTAAAACTTTAGGAGGATTTCTCAAAAAAAAAAAAAAAAAAACTTTTGGAGGATTATTGTATTTTTTCATAAATAAATTCTCAAATTATCCTTAATTATAATAATTTGGAATAATTTATATTTTAGTTATGTTATTCTTAAAAATAATAAAAAGAAAATTTTAGTGATAGGATGTATAATTAAAATTGAGAAATAATAAAATAAAAAATTTTATTACTCTTAAAATGTAAAATATGACAATAAATTTGAAAAATTTTAAATAAAGGTAAAATAGGGCATTATTGTTGGACAATTGGTGTATGGAGTACATTCAATGTTGGCTTGCCTTTGTTCAGCATTAGATGGCTTAGTTAGTAATTCGTCGCTTGATGAAAAGGGTTAGTAGAATAGTGTTAGAATGTGAAATTCTGGATTCAATAACCAGGTGCTACTTCCCATCCTCAAAAATTCACTAAGTTCAAAAAATATATATATATTGGCTTTTCTTTTACCTTTATGAGTTTTATTTTAAGTTTAACAATACAACTTTATATTAAATATAATAATATTAATTTAGAATTGAAATTAATTTTTAAAAAGTAAATATAGAAATCTTTTTAAATTATATTAGTTTATTACAAATAGATATAACTTTTCTATTAATTGAAATTTTTTAGATAAACACAATAAAGTAGTTCATTATATATATATATATTTTATCTTTACATATATAAGTATTACCATTATGCATCTCTTTTTATCAAAATTTGTCTTATCTCTCCTAAATGTCTATATTAAACAGGTTTTTAGTCAAAACATAAAAGATATCACAATTTATTAGTATTATTCTTAGGGATAGTAATTTTTTCCATGACCCAAAGAGCTTCATGGGGATTCCTATTTTTGGAATGGAGGCAATATTTCCTCTGCAAAATTTTGCGGAAGACTATGAGTTAATAAAAATTTATAAATTATAATAAACCCAAATATTTTAATTTTCAAACCCACAAATACCAGCCACAAACACTTTTGGCTATCGCACTCTCCTTTTTAGTACCTTAGTTCCTCCTAGACTCACCTCTTTATTTAATAAGTTTCTTTTAATTTCCATTTACTTTATTTATTTATTTATTCTTTCTAGGCAAAAGCTTACTTATTTTATTTTATTTGATTCATTTTCTAGAAAAAAAAAAATACTTAGAAATAACTACTTTTTTTAAAAATGCTTTTGAACTTTAAGATTTTGTACAATTTTCATCTTTTAATTATTTTAAGCTTTTTTTGGTCCCTCAACTTAAAAAAAAATATTTTTTTATCCTTTCGTCAGTTAATTTAATAAATTTGTTCATATATGTATATTTTTAATTTCTGAACTTAAGAATTTAAGAATTAAAAATATACATATATTTTAAATTTAGAGACAAAATGTATACATTTGAACAGATTTAACAGATTAATTCACAAAAAAGACAAAAGTGTTAATTTAATGCAGGTTGAGGGACTAGAATTGCATGCACGTTGGATGATATGGGAATTGCATGTAATCATTTTAAGAGAAAACCTAAAGTCCTTCCATTAATTTCTATGTAGGCATCAACTTAATGAAGGGATAAAAAAGGATCATTTTTTTAGAGTTAATGGATTAAAATAGATCTAAAATTAGTTAAGGGACCAAAAGGCCCTACTCTTAAAAGTTGAGGGGTCAAATAGTGATTTAAACATAATATTTTTTCACGGATTTAAAAAAATTGAAACACCTTCACGATTAAAATATTAAGATTATTTATGAAATCATTTAAATACCTTTAACAAATCAATATATAAGAAAGATTTATTAATGATACTTGGATAATTTTATAAGAAATTTTAACATTTTAAATTCTAAAATGTCTTGATTTTTACTTTTCTTTATTTTTTATTATTAAATTAGGTAAATTTCATACTAAAATAATTATACTCCAATTAATTATGTGATCATTTCACAATAAAGGATGAGAATGTTCTCAAGGCAATTAATCAATCGTTATTTACATGGACTAGGACATAAACTTTCCCCAAATTTAAAATTGGAGGTAAGAATTAACAACTTTCATTATTATAAACAAAAAAAAAAGGGAGTAATTTCACTACTTTTTAATCAAAATATTAGTTCAGTTTACAATTTAACATCATATGCGGGAAGTAAAAGTTTTGATTTCAGTTTATTTGATGTCTCACACAAATTTTTTATCTAAATTATCGTTATTTTCAACTAATATGCAAATTTTGCACCCATAATTGAAAACAATCAAGTGTATATCCTTAATTATGAATTTAGTGAAAGTTTTGCCCTCGTTTTCAGATTCTACCTAAACAATATCTTGTGGGATACTACAATTACCTCCACTCCTATACGTATGTCACCTGTACTAAACTCAAAACCCTAGTCGCATTCTTTCTTTTGCGTTAAGTTTCATGGCCATGGCAGCACAGACGCAGTCAAAAAGTAACGGTGAGAACTATTACTCTCCCTCTTCTTCATTCTCTTTACTCCATAGAATTCACCATCTCTCTCCAATTTTACTTCCTTTTCTGTTAGAATCAACACAGATTGATTCTACTATTGCCCTGATCATCGCATATGATCTTCTCATGATCAATTGGTGTGTCTGTATCCTAGCGATGACACCTTTATCCCATGAGATAGCACCAATTGACGAAATCGAAGATGAGCTTAGCAGGTCCCTTACCAAGTATGTTTGATTAATTCAATTATTGATAGCTCCCTAGAAATTATCTGAAATAATTAACATTTTTCATTATTACAAATTTATGAGAATTTTTTTAAATGGAAATGATTCAAAAGTTTCTTTAGTTTAGACTTGAGAGTGTGGTTTAGAACTAGCTATTAACTATTTCTTGGAAGATTAAAACTTTATTTTGGTTCTTTTATTTTAATAAAAAGTTTATTTTTAGTCTTTTTACTTAAGAAAGTTCATTTTTATTCCTTAAATTTTATTATTAGGTCCCTTTTTAATTCCTTTATTATTTTTTACATATGTGACATATAAGATATATAAGATAACAAAAATTTCAAAGTAGAGAAACTAAAAAAAGACTAAAAAAACTCATTTTTTGTTATTCTACTTTAAAAGGCCCCTTTTTTAGTCTATCTATTTAAAAATTTTTGTTTTCTAATATGATATGTGTATAAAAAGATAACGAATGAACTAAAAATGAGCTACATAATAAACTTTAAAGATTAAAAAAGTATATATTTTTTTAAGTAGAGAAACCAAAATGAGGTTTTAACCTTCCTATAATATAGAAGTTGTAAATTGCCCTCAATATTTTTGAGTTTAAATATATTAGTTTAAATAATTCAGTGATTATTTTTTTCTGTTAAAAATAAAAATAAGAGATT